GCCATCGCTTGCCCAACCGGCACGGGGAGGGAGGCACCGGATGCGGGTGCAGCTGTGCTGAGAGCAGGGGCCATGCCCTGCTGCTGCTTGCCCCCTTCTGCCCAGAATGAGCTGCATCCTCATCCTCCCCCCACCCGGGCAAGTGGTGGCAGGGCATAGCCCCCACTCAGCGCTGCTGCACCCGCATCCTGCACCCCCCCACCCCAGCTGGGCAGCTTGCCCCAGCCCCAATCCCTCCCTCCCTCCCCCAACCCCAACAGACTTACCAGCTGGAGGCAGCTGCCTATTTAGTCTACAGCTGAATCCCCGAAGCGGCGTTGAATCTTTTGGATCCGATTCAACTGAATCGAATAGGGACAGTGATTCAAATCTCTGAAGCGTATCACCGTCCTCCGACTCAGCCGAATCTGAATCCAAAGTGAATACTTGCTGCTCCGCACAGGCCTACTACGTAGCGCAAAGCCTCTGCAAAGGTCAGGTGAGGGTGGCTAGGGCTACCTCTCTCTAGGATGGAGTTAGTACAGGTTTCCCTCACCAACCATGGTTTTGCCAGCCATGGTTTTGAGTATACACGCTTCAGAGAAGGGGGGTGTACAGTTGGCACGGCCCCCCTGGCCCTGCTCTTGCCCCTCACCCCCCGGCCCTGTCGGTTTTGCCAACCACGGGCACTTTCAGGAACCGAACCCCCGTGGTTGGCAAAGGAAACCTGTATCTTCTGTTCGGAGTACCTCTCGTCTCCTGTCTTGGATTGAGCGGGGTAGGCCTACACTGCGCTCAGCCGTATCATCGTAGCACAGATCAGCAGGCTCAGACTAGCTTTCATCTCACCAGCTCTGCTACCCGGGTTGGTAAAACCACAGTCGCAGACTTCAGGTACGAGCCCCCCTGCGCTGTACTCGGATACCCAGGCTGCCGTGGCTTCACTGCTTTTGGTACCCGAGTTAGAGCAAAGTGAGCTTGAGTACATCTCCCCAGGCTACGATTGCACCCCTGACTGCAGTTAAGACGGGCCCTCGGTGGCTGTAAAGAATTTCAGTCTGCTCGTCTTTGGACACAGGTGTGTGCTAGTGCACCGCTCTCACTCGCTAGACCAGGCCTCCATCTAGTGGCAGATGGCTTGCAAAGCCTGCATTCAAAACCACTGTTAAAGTAGAGGATGGGTAGGTGTGTCCCGCCTAATGCTGAAACCTCCATGCACGAGCACCAGGGAGGCAGCTTGATGCAGCCAGGCCCTTTCGGGGTTCTTCTGGTGAAGCGTAATGATGTAAGCAGGTTCGGTGCTGGGACGTCTGGACAACAGTGGCTCATCCTGTGGGTCTCCGCCAGAGGCACAACATCATCCCAAGGGGACTCTCATCATCTGCAGCCCTGTAGCTAACGCACAACATCATACCGGCAACACAGCTGCGCAGGAGAATTTGGGGAAAAACTGGGACGCCGTCTTCTTCCTCGACTCCAACCTATTCCGAAAGGGAGCAACTTAAACGGAGATACCCACGTGCGGTACTCAACTACTACACGTTCCTGCTACTTTTAACAGCTGTTGCAGTTCAGCCTCTGTTTTTATATCGTGGCGCTTTGCCTTCGCGTAGCATCTCCCCAAAGATGTAAATTAGGAACGACCCGAGCCTTGCAGCGCTCTGGGGAGCACAGGCGAGTAACGCCTAGCTCGCAGAAAAGGAAATGAGAGGTGGGGAAGGCAGGGCTGGATTAACCCTTTAGTGGGCCCTAGGCAAACCAAGTCGTGGGCCCCAGGCCAGTCAAGACCCCCGCCACCTCCCCACCCTGGCGCTGCTGCCCGCGGGAAGCAGGGCTCAGAGCTGCCGCTAGGAAGCAACCGCAGGGGCAGCGAGGCCTGTGGAGGGGAGGGAAAGGGAGGCAGGTGGAGCCACTCGCTCTGCCACCATGGAGGGAAGGACCAGGGACATGTGACCCCACATGTCAGAGCCTAGTTTGCCAATGCATTAATCCAGCCCCGGGGGACGGGAAGAGACACCGGGCCCTGCCCCATGTGCTCAGCGCCCAGAGGTGGCCCCAGGCTTTCAGATTTCTGCTCCCTTTTAGACTCTGGCTCGAGTCCCGCAGCGATGCACTGGTACGGAGCCCTCTCCGCCTCCCGGCCACTGCTCACCAACCTCCCAGGGCATGCGTGCACCTGGGGCCGTACAGCTCCTTTTCACATGAAGCATTTGGTGTTGCGTGTGCAGAGCCCTAGAACCAACGGCCAAAGGCAAGAAATAGGGTTTAGAAATGAGCCTGTGGCACTGCTGGCCCCAGCTCAATAAAAGTTTGGCAGCCTCAGGCCCTCTTGGGATCACACCTGCCACAGCTGCAGCAAGGCGAGGCCCAACTCTGCTCCTTTGTGTGACGGCACTGATCTCTGGAGCAGCAGAAGAGCTCCTGTTGAAGACTTGGCGCCTCCTCAGCGTCAGGCCATGCGGCCGCTAAGGATCAGCTCAGAAGTTACAAGTGTATGTGCAGGGTGAGCACAGCCTTTGCCTTTCTCACTTCTAGCTCGCCCTTCGTTGCGGCATATCGCAGCCCGTGCAGTTGTTTTGATGGGTTTGTGGAGCCAGGCCTAACTCTGCATTCAGGACAGACTGTACACGAGTACTTGCGCTTTGCGGTGACCGTGGGAAATGAGATGAATGCAGAATATCCTAACGAGACAGAGAATTCTGCCCTCAGCAACCATTTTTCATGCTAATGTTTCCTTTTCTTCCCTTGCCAAAGAGCTTTCTGCTGTAATGCACCGCCTGTCTACAGCCGAGTGAATAAAGTGCCGCAGGTAAGTTATTCAGTAAGTGAAATCTGTTCTGAGAATTGCCCACAGCCCACTTCAGACTCTCCCTCACGCCTTCATCTTGGTCATTTAAGCAAATGTCTTCGGTGTGCGCCTGTCTGTTTTGAGCAGCCTTGCTGGCTGTGATCCTTTGCTGGGTGACGTGGGAGTGGTGCTGTTCATCTCCTTATGGACGGGCATACCTCTCAGGATCGGGTATCCAGTGCAAATGCTCGTACTTGGATTGTTGTTCTCTAATTGCGCTTCCCAGAAACGTTCCTGGCACCGAACTCATTTGTTAGCATCGGCAGTCGCAACCGAAATCTTCGCTCTTGCTCAGAGCTGTTCTGTAGCAACCCTTT